GCCTGGGTACTCCATGGCAGCAAGAGCTTTCTGTCCTGGCCCCTTTGCTCTGGGAGGAATCTTCGTCCGTACGCCATTTGGGCTAAGGGACTGGCAGCTGGAGCTGTATAAAGCCAAGAGTCCTTCTCCCCAGCCAAGCAAGCCTGCAACCTTTGGCTCTCTGGTGCATTTGCTGGGCCAGCCTGGGTACTCCATGGTAGCAAGAACTTTCTGTCCTGGTTCCATTGCTCTGGGAGTAATCTTCAACTGTACATAATTTGGGCAGTGGGACTGGTACCTGGAGCCGTATAAAGCCAAGAGCCCTTCTCCCCAGCCAGGCAAGCCTGCAACCTTTGGCTCATGGGTGGATTTGCTGTGCCAGCCTGGGTACTCCATGGCAGCAAGAACTTTCTGTCCTCGTCCCATTGCTCTGGGAGGAATCTTCAACCATACACCATTTGGGCAGTGGGACTGGCAGCTGGAGCTGTATAAAGCCAAGAGCCCTTCTCCCCAGCCAGGCAAGCCTGCAACCTTTGGCTCATGGGTGGATTTGGTGGGCCAGCCTGGGTACTCCATGGCAGCAAGAGCTTTCTGTCCTGGCCCCTTTGTCCTGGGAGGAATCTTCGTCCGTACGCCATTTGGGCAGTGGGACTGGCAGCTGGAGCATTATAAAGCCAAGAGCCCTTCTCCCCAGCCAAGCAAGCCTGCAACCTTTGGCTCTCTGGTGCATTTGCTGGGCCAGATTGGGTACTCCATGGCAGCAAGAGCTTTCTGTCCTGGCCCCTTTGCTCTGGGAGGAATCTTCAACCGTACGCCATTTGGGCTAAGGGACTGGCAGCTGGAGCTGTATAAAGCCAAGAGCCCTTCTCCCCAGCCAAGCAAGCCTGCAACCTTTGGCTCTCTGGTGCATTCGGTTGGCCAGCCTGGGTACTCCATGGGCAGCAAGGGCTTTCTGTCCTGGCCCCTTTGCTCTGGGAGGAATCTTCAACCGTACGCTGTTTGGGCAGAGGGACTGGCAGCTGGAGCTGTATAAAGCCAAGAGCCCTTCTCCCAGCCAAGCAAGCCTGCAACCTTTGGCTCTCTGGTGGATTTGCTGGAGCAGCCTGGGTACTCCATGGCAGCAAGAGCTTTCTGTCCTGGCCCCTTTCCTCTGGGAGGAATCTTCGTCTGTACACCATTTGGGCAGTGGGACTGGCAGCTGGAGCTGTATAAAGTAAGGAGCCCTTCTCCCCAGCCAAGCAAGCCTGCAACCTTTGGCTGTTGGGTGGATTTGGTGGGCCAGCCTGGGTACTCCATGGCAGCAAGAGCTTTCTGTCCTGGCCCCTTTGCTCTGGGAGGAATCTTCGTCCGTACGCCATTTGGGCAGTAGGACTGGCAGCTAGAGCTCCATGAAGTAAGGAGCCCTTCTCCCCAGCCAAGCAAGCCTGCAACCTTTGGCTCTCTGGTGCATTTGCTGGGCCAGCCTGGGTATTCCATGGCAGCAAGAGCTTTCTGTCCTGGCCTCTTTGCTCTGGGAGGAATCTTCAACCGTACGCCATTTGGGCAGTGGGACTGGCAGCTGGAGCTCTATAAAGCCAAGAGCCCTTCTCCCCAGCCAAGCAAGCCTGCAAGCTTTGACTATTGGGTGGATTTGGTGGGCCAGCCTGGGTACTCCATGGCAGCAAGAGCTTTCTGTCCTGGCCTCTTTGTTCTGGGAGGAATCCTCGTCCGTACACCATTTGGGCAGTGGGACTGGCAGCTGGAGCTGTATAAAGCCAAGAGCCCTTCTCCCCAGCCAAGCAAGCCTGCAACCTTTGGCTCTCTGGTGCCTTTGGTGGGCCAACCTAAGTACTCCATGGCAGGAAGTGCTTTCTGTCCTGGCCCCTTTGCTCTGGGAGGAATCTTCGTCCGTACGCCATTTGGGCAGTGGCACTGGCAGCTGGAGCTGCTAAAAGCCAAGAGCCTGTATCGCCAGCCATCAAGCCTGCAACTTTTGGCTCTCGGGTGGATTTTGTGGGCCAGCCTGGGCACTCCACGGCCAGCAAGAGCTTTCTGTCCTGGCCCCTTTGCTCGGGGAGGAATCTTCTTCCGTACGCCATTTGGACAGTGGCACTGGCAGCTGGTGCTGTAGAAAGCCAAGAGCCCTTCTTTCCATCCAATCAAGCCTGCAACCTTTGGCTCTTGGGTGGATTTGGTGGGCCAGGCTGGGAACTCCATGGTAGCAAGAGCTTTCTGTCCTGGCCCCTTTGCTCTGGGAGGAATTCTCGTCCGCACGCTATTTGGGCAGTGGGACTGGCAGCTGGAGCTGTATAAAGCCAAGAGCCCTTCTCCGCAGCTAAGCAAGCCTGCAACCTTGAGTTCTCGGGTGGACTTTGTGGGTTAGCCTGGGCACTCCCCAGGAACCAAGAGCTTTCTGTCCTGGCCCCTTTGCTCTGGGAGGAATCTTGGTCCGTACGCCATTAGGGCAGTGGCATTGGCAGCTGGAGCTGCCAAAAGACAAGAGACCTTCTCCGGAGCCAAGCAAGCCTGCAACCTTTGGCTCTCTTGTGCATTTGGTGGGCCAGCCTGGGCTCTCCCCGGGCAGCAAGAGCTTTCTGTCCTGGCCCCTTTGTTCTGGGAGGAATCTTCGTCCGTACGCCATTTGGGCAGTGGCACTGGCAGCTGGAGCTGTATAAAGACAAGAGCCCTTCTCTCCATTCATTCAAGCCTGCAACCTTTGGCTCTTGGGTCGATTTAGTAGGCCTCCCTGGGCACTCCATGGGTAGCAAGAGCTTTCTATCCTGGTCCCTTTGCTCTGGGAGGAATCTTCGTCCGTACGCCATTTGGGCAGTGGGACTGGCAGCTGGAGCTGTATAAAGCCAAGAGCCTTTATCGCCAGCCATCAAGCCTGCAACCTTTGGCTCTCGGGTGGATTTCGTGGGCCAGCCTGGGTACTCCATGGCAACAAGAGCTTTCTGTCCTGGTCCCTTTGCTCTCGGAGGAATCTTCGTCCGTACACCATTTGGGCAGTGGCAGCGGCAGCTGGAGCTACCAAAAGCCAAGAGCCCTTCTTTGCAGCCATCAAGCCTGCAACTTTTGACTCTCAGGTGGATTTGGTGGGTCAGCCTGGGCACTCCGTGTGCAGCCAGGGCTTTCTGTGCTGGCACCTTTTCCCTGCAAGGAATCCTCATTTGGATCGGTTTTGGATTGGGTGGCTGGCAATGGCAGGGGGGGTCTGACCAAAGGGGACAGCAGCCCTGTTTCCCAGGATAGAAAGCTTGTGAGCTTTGGCTTTCAGGTGCAGTGTGTGGCGCAGCCTGGGCACTCCGTGGGCAGCCAGGGCTTTCTGTGCTGGCACCTTTTCCTTGCGAGGAATCCACATTTGGATCGGGTTTGGATCAGGTGGCGGGGCGGAGCTGACCAAAGAGGAACCAGGAGAACTGGCTGCTAGGAAAGATCCTGTTACAGAATGGGTTCTCCTGGTTCTATCCAGGACAGGGTTATTTTTGCAGGAGCCAGGAGGGGCATGGAATGTTGGAGAAAATCGGTCAGCTTTTGAAAGACTGTTCTGCTCCAATGATTTGGAAGTTTACCTCTGTCAACTACAGGATCCTGATAAAGCAGCAGAATCTTTGAAAGAGAAATGCTGTGGCAGTTCCAAGAGGAGCAACTTAGTGCAGTGCTCTGGGCCCTGGCTACTATTTATCAGACACAGTGCAATACTAAACAGCACCCTCAGAGGGAGGAGAAGGAAAGCAGACCAACAGGCGCCGTGGCCACTCAAGCTGCAGCTGAACCAGAGGAGCAACCTGTGCCAGTAGTAGTCACTCCTGTACAGAAGAAAAAAATCCAAGACCAAATCAGTTCACATAGAGAGGCATGAAGAGGCTTGGGGGAAAAAAACAAGGTCTGAGAGCGTTGGCTTGGGGGTTTCTCCTGCCCGAGTCCATTTCTAGAAGTCACCAGGCGTTTTCTGTCCATAAAAACCACCAAAAGCCCAAGATTCAGCCCAAGGAAATCCTCCTTCTCCTCCTACTTCCATCCCTCCTCCTCCAGCCCTTCCCCTCCACACAGGACCAGTGCACATCCTTGGTCCCCCCTTCCCCCCCGAATTCATCGGATTCCACGGCAGCATGGTTTGCCAGCATCCGGAAAGAGATTTAACCTCAACAGTTTACAAGACTTTGCGAAAGCCTTTGAGGGCACCTGTGCTTCCGCGGCTCTGGCGGCTGCCAACCCGCAGTTTGTTAGAGGCTCCCCCACAGCCGCTCCTGCCCTGCCCGGCGGTACCGCGAACCTGCGGGGCAGAGCCGCCAACTGCTGTACCACCACCGCAAGGGCTACAGAGCTCCTCAGCTCAACACTTGCAAAACTTCAACTACTGTCAGTAAAAACAGCCCCTTTTCCACCGAAGCCCCAAACCCACACAGGACCCGCACACCGGGGCGGAGCGACACCCCCCGGACAGCGCTGGGGGCGGAGCCCGGGCCAGGGCTGCGCCCGAACGGAACCGAGCGAGCCCGAACGGAGCCGAGTGGAACCGAACCCAGCCGAATGATGCCGAGTGGCGCCGAGCGCGGCCCCGCCGAGCCCCAAGGGCGGGCCGGAAGCAGCCGCGCCCCCGCAGCCGGGGCCAGGGCCGAGTTCGCCTGGCTGGAGCGGGGGTGGCTGCAGGCGAGCCGGGACTCTCCTCGGGATGCTGGTGGTTCCCAGGGGCTGGCGCGCAGGACAGCGCTGCCCAGGGGGACGGGGGGCAGACCTGCGCGCCCGCGCCGTTGCACCGGGCACAGCCCTGCTCGTGGGTCGGGGAACACCCCCGCCAGGCATCTTCGTGCCTTGAGCTGATCAGGGTGGCCGGAGCGCGGCAGACTCCTGGCCGTGTGCCCCGGGACGGGGGCAGGCGCTGACCCCCGGGGACAGGGAACGGCCTTTGCGGTGTCCGTGAGGAAAGCTGTCCCGTGGAGGGTGCAGATCCCGGCGGGATGAGCTGGAGCGGCGGCGCTGTGCTGGCAGCGCCCGCCAGGGGGCGCTGTTAGAGGGGGTGGGGAGGTGGGCGGGGATCCCGCCCCTTCTTCCGGCGTTGGCCACGCCCCCTGCCGTTGGTATGGCAACGCGCCGCGCGACTCGGCTGCCCGGGGAGAAACAGGGATCGGCCCCGACAGCCGGGATCGTCCGGGACCGACAGCCGGGATCGTCCGGGACCGACAGCCGGGATCGTCCGGGACCGACAGCCGGGATCGTCCGGGACCGACAGCCGGGATCGGCCCCGAGAGTCGGGATCGTCCGGGAGCGACAGCCGGGATCGGCCCCGGCAGCCGGGATCGTCCGGGAGCGACAGCCGGGATCGGCCCCGAGAGCCGGGATCGTCCGGGACCGACAGCCGGGATCGGCCCCGAGAGTCGGGATCGTCCGGGAGCGACAGCCGGGATCGGCCCCGGCAGCCGGGATCGTCCGGGAGCGACACCCGGGAGCGACAGCCGGGATCGGCCCCGAGAGCCGGGATCGTCCGGGAGCGACACCCGGGGTCGACCCCGGCAGCCGGGATCGTCCGGGACCGACAGCCGGGAGCACCGCCTGCGGTGACAGCTCTAGATCCTGGAAGCCGAGCGGTAGGCGTGGAGTTTCACTGAATCCGAAAAATCCGGAATAATGAACCGCCCAGAGGCTTTGATCTTTGAGCAGCAAAGGTATTTATTGACAGCGCTGGGAGCAAGCCAGCTATTGCTGGAAAAACCTGCTCCAAGGCTTCACATGGAATCAGCAGGTTTTATACAATTTTCGTTTATGATTAAATGCATATTCAGAGTGATTACAGCATTTATCTATACATACTAATAACAGGCGGAGTATAGGTGGAGCTCAGGCAGGGCTTCTCCTAGCCCTCAATTTTGGTGGGAGTTCCGTTCTTCCTTCCTGAGTCTGAGGGCTAGTTCTCATCTTCCTCAGCTTGACCTCTCTTCTTTTCCATTGTTCTCGACCCGCTCACTGAAGCTTGGAAAAAGCCTTGGCTCACAGCCTGTTTCTTCTATTCCAATGTCTACCTTATCCTACTGCATCTTAATTTATTACCTCTAGGCTTATTACATGTTCTTTTACCATTCTCTTAAGTTTTGGTCCGGTAAGTAAAACAGAACAAGCACAGATCGTTTTGGATGTTAGCAGCTTGTTAGCAGGCCCAAATTTCTTAGTTAACTCTTTTGGGCCTGGCCTCCTGTTTCATCACCCTTTGGAGTCTTGGGGAGGCCACAAATCTTCTTCAAAGGCTGGAGTGCCTCTGCCGTGGTGGCAGCTGGGAGAACTGGGGTTGTGCAGCCTGGAAAAGGCTCCAGGGAGACGATAGAGCCCCTTGCAGTGCCTAAAGGGGCTCCAGGAGAGCTGGAGAGGGACCTGGGACAGGAGCCTACAGGGACAGAACGAGGGGGCACGGCCTCACACTGACAGAGGGCAGGGTTAGATGGGATATTGGGAAGAAGTTTTTTCCTGGGAGGGTGGTGAGGCCCTGGCACAGGTTACCCAGAGAAACTGTGGCTGCCCCATCCCTGGAAGTGTCCAAGGCCAGGTTGGACAGGGCTTGGAGCAACCTGGGCTAGTGGAAGGTGTCCCTGCCCATGGCGGGGGGTAACTGGATGGGCTTGAAGGTCCTATGATTCAAGGAAGGCCCTTTTCCAACTGAAACGTTGTGTCTCCTCTTGACTCCCAGCTTGTAGTTGCCAGTTCTCTGGAAGCAGGCCTGGCAGTCAGCTGGGATGGGCCACCTGTTCTCAGTAGGATGTGTGTGACACGTTTGTGGAGAGGAAGGCTGTAAACCAATCTCCAAGGCCAAGGTAAAAAACCCAAAGGACCGAGTAAAAGCCAAAGGAATTGGTTGTGTTGGTCAGTTGTTTGCTGGCTGTTGAAGTGACATCAGGCAGGAGCTCAGTTTCGACCTTTCTAGGTTTGGTTTGTTTGAGTAGAAAATAATTGTGTTATCTCCAGCATATGCTCTCTAATGCATCTCCATGTGTTCTCATCTCTTCATTGTGTATCAGAATATATTAATTGAAGGCAGCATCATTATAACACAGCAGTAAAACATATTAAGAGTCACAGCCAGATTCAGGCATTTCTCACTCTCCTGTTGATTTTCCTGGTGACTGTAAGCAAGGCACACAATCCAGTTGGCTCCACTTTTCCTCTCTGAGGAAAAGGTTAACCTTTTTTTCTCATTTTGAAAATAACCTGAGATTAAAATAGCCTTAGATGGTTATGCACGTGCCAAGTAGGGTTCCTTTTTTTGCTTTTTTCTTCTGCCACCCTTCCCTTCCCCCCCAATTTTTATGAACTATTTTGTCACTGTTCTCCACTCAGGAGATTGGAAGGAATTCTAACTGTTGTGATTATGGTTCTTTGAAGGCTCACTGAGTACACCTTTTGAATGAAAGAAAGAAGAAGAATAGGTCTTCTAAGAAGAGTAAAATGCTCACTTCGGATAGGCATTCAGAAATGTCTGCTGATGCTGGGCTACTACCATGTTATCAGCAGAAGTGTGATGGAAAAAGGCCTATCAATGACTCCACAAAAAAGGCACAATCAGACAGGTAGAGAACAGAAGCATAAAACCCCAATTATATGTTCATGACTATAGGAATGAAGTTGTAAGATTTGCACTGGGAGCAAGAAATTTCTGAATTCTTGGTCATAGCACTAATGACTTGTAACAGAGTGTCTCCTTGCTCAAAGTAAATTTAGTATAATGAGCTGCTGCCTGTTAAAGTGCAGGCTGACAGGCTGATATTTCCAATGGCAGGCACATTGTGTGGCTTTCCTTTGCAAAAGAAGTTGCCTGTCTTCTTTGCTCAAAGCAGTCTAGGTAGATGCCCAGTCTGACACATCTTTTTGAACTATATTTCAAAGTATGTTGATGATTTACATGATGATGGTGATGATGATGCAGTAAGATTGTGTAATGAACAAGAAAGAAGTTAATGCATCCATCCTTTTTACCCTAACCCTGCTGCTGAATTCTCCTGGATTCTCATTGACCCCAAGGAGAAACACAGTGCCCAAGCCAATGGGAAGAGCACTGGGCAGATAAAGGCTATTTTCACATTTCTTGCTAGTTCCTCCTTGAGATTTCATAGATTCTTATACCTTTTAGGCACAGTATGTTTGTGTTCGTAGTTTGCATGCACTAAATCTAGCATGTATTGCTTTAATGCCATCATAACAGATTTGAAGTTGGGGTCAAACCACACTAGATAATTACTCAGTTCAGTTCATGTCAGAAGAAGCAACGTTGATTCTTTGAATCATATTCTTTGTAGTTAAAACAATACTTATGTTCACTTAAATGTTACATTTTGCCACTTAAAGTGAATATTATACTATTATGCTAGTCCCTCTTCTTACACATTTAATACAAATCCAAGCTTTATTCTCTTCTTGTTTCAGAGAACCTACAACATCTCCAAAGGCCTGGAGAAATGTAGATACAAGTTCAGCTGAGGAAGTCAGAGGCCTACCTGATATAGTTGGTAAAATTGTTTTCCCTTAATGTCAGCTATTTAAATTTGCATTCATAGGAGACACTATACATGTAGCAGTTTTAGCTGAACGAGGTATAAAATCAAGCTCAGAAATGACCTGGCACGTTTTTGATGATTCGTAGGTAATTTTGAAGCTGAAGAGTCTCCTCCTAGAAAAAAAAAAATGGTTGTGAAATTGTCAGTCAATCACAGCTTATGTTTGGATGATAAATTCCAGTTCTGCTGGATCTCATTCTTGAAATGATGCAACCTTTTTGCATCGTACCTGAGCTTTAGTTGATAGCTTGCATGCTTTTATCCTGAAAATCACAAGTTTTAAAATATGCTCAAGTATTTTTAACCTCCGTTTGCAAAGATTTCCCTTCCCGTGCTGCACACTGTAAGAGCTGCACAAACTGCAGCAGTCATAGCGTGCATTTAGGGATTTATTCTTCGTGCATCCCATGTTCTGCAGCAGGAGTTCCAGGCTCCATCATCCTCATTTCTTTCTTGGCAGTTCCTGAGGAAAAAAGCAGCGAGACCTTGAAATGCGTGGCAGAACGACGGCAAAAGCGTCACGATCAAGCAGTGACCAAAATGCAGCAGGAGCTGGACTACATTGGCAAAGTAAGGCAGGATTTTTTAATCCAGGTAGTCTAGAGTGCTATTCTAAGGTCAGGGCCCAATATTCAAGTGATCACACTGAGTTCCTTCTCTTTTTAGGAGATGGAAGCCTCTGTTTCGGAGCTTCAAAAATTCCTTCAAGTAAAAGTGATGAAATCTGATGAAAAAAGTGAACTTCTGTTCGAAAAGATTGTGTCTGACACAGCTCTAGAAGGTTTCTCCTTTGAAGTAAGGCAGCTCAGAGCATTGGCTCACCTTCAGTTATTTGTACCTGCTCTGTGTAACAGGTTCTCATGGCTCACTGGAGTCTTAAGATCTATTTTCTTTTTTTAAATTTTTTTTTTTTTTTACATTTACTTTTCAAAGAGATTGAGACTAAATTCTTATTGCAGGGTTTGGAAAAGCTGTGGAATATGATTCACCAGGAATCCTTGAACAGAAAGAAGTGGATTAGGACAATGGATGAATCCCTAAAGAAGATTGAAAGGAGTCGAGCCTCTAAAGTAAGATGCAGCCTTAATAACTGTTACTTAAGGATAAGATTATTATTTGCTGATAATGCTGGATGCAGAGCAAAGAGTAGCTTGTTTCCATAGGAGTCAGAGATCTGCCAGTAATTCTGTTGTGTGGTGATTGCTTTCTTTTCACCAGTAGACCGTTCAGTCATTTTATACCTGCATAATCAGAAGAAAATACTTTTTTTTTTCAGTTTCAAGGTGTTTCTTTCTTGCACAATTATCTGTACTGAAGGTGAGCTGCTTTTATTTTCGTGCAAGGGTTTTTTAGGTCGAACTGTCATCTGCTCTGTTATTTTTTGGGGACAGCTGAGAAAGACCACAGGCATGACCTAGCTCAGTTTTAGTTTGGGTAGCCTGGGTATCAGTAGGAGTTGTGTTGCAGTTGTGTAGGCTTTAGGCTGACTTGTAAAAGTCACTGGATATCACAGTAAATGTTTGGATAAATAATAGATACCCCTTAAGGAGGTCCTTGCTGCGTTGTTCTTGGAGGCAAACAAAGGCTGTTTGTTCTACCTGTGCCAGTTTGTCCTCTTTGTAACGCAGACATAGTGAGTAGGTCCAAGAGTATCACCAGTAACTTTTTTATTGATGTTTGTTTAGTTATGAAAAAGGCCAGAGATGGCGACATTTCCTTAAATTTTGTTTTTCCTTAAAACAGGCACTGGTGGATTCACTCCAGATATTTGAAAGGAAGTTGGTGTGATTTTTTTTTTTGAATTCATATTGCAGCTTGTCTGCAGAGTGCTCAATTTTCACAGATATGAAAGAAAAACCAAATGAGTAGTAACAAAGTGGAAAGTTTTAGTTACTTTTTAATGAATGATTTTAAAAAATCAGTCTTTGATATATTTAAGATTAATATTTTAAGGTTTATTTCTCAATCTGTCTATCAACCAATTGAATTTATTTTAATGGAAAAAAAAATGTTTTGTTCATGTAATTTTATAACTTGGGAAACTGACATCTGAGTTATACTTTTTTAGTTGATGCTTTTCTTTATTCTTTTATTGCACAGATAGCAAATATACTGAAAAAGTATACAGTGAAATTGGAGGAAATTTCCTTCTTCTTGGCAGCTGATGTTCACAAGCTCATCAACGAGGAGGCCACGGTAAATGTTTTGTCTGGGGCAAGACAGCAATCTGAATGTTCCCAGAATGTCTTTTTTTTTTTTTCCCAGTTGAAATTCATTTTTTCTACTTATCAATCACTGACATATAAAAGAAGTTTCTCTTTTGCAGAATATTCTTTATCATTTGTATTCTTTTCTCCCTCCTTTCACGTAGAAGAGACAATTTATGGTTTTTTTTATGTTGTATGCTGATAAAATACTCCTGATTTTATTTTTTAATATGCAGAATATAAACCGAGCCCTGCTGGGTAATGAGAGGGCAACTGCCAAGCTGCTCTTTAATCTAATGAAATCAGAGCTTGAGAAGGAAAAAGCACATAAATTGAAATGGCAAGAAAGAGTTGAGGACTGGAAGCTCATCCAAAAGAACCGTGTAATTCAGAGTTTCAGGTCAGAAATTTTACAGTCATATTTTGGAGAATGAATAACACAAAGTGACCAGTGTTCAGTTGTGTTTTCTGTAAACAGTACTGTTTTATCATTTTTTCATTAAACATATGATACATATCACATAGGATAGCACATGTATCACATTTCCATTATACATATCATTTTTCCATCCTACAGAGAATTTATGGCAAGTGAAGAAATACAGAATCCCCCAACTGTGAAAACAGAAATGGAAAATATGATAAAGGAGCAGACTGTACTCAGTGAGCGGAGACTGGGGGTTTTGCAGCACATTGGGTATGGCAAAAGAGAAACAGAATTCTTTCTGGAGTTAATAGGGGACTTGGCTACTAAATGCACTTTGCTTTCTGTCAGTCTGTGATTGTAGAGTTCAGAAGTAGGCAGGTCCTAAACTTTTTTTTGGTAAAGCTCTTTTTAATGGAAAAAATGCATTCCTGGTTTTCAGTGCACCAGCTACACTAAATAGGGGATGATGGAGAGCTAGAAATGCAGGAGTGCAAAAGTTAATCTTAACTAATATTTGAAACATGGTATAAATGAGCAGACAAGGATGGGTAGAGAACTACAAGCTGGTACTTTAGTCAAGGCATTGTTTCTGCACAGGATTTCATTTGTGTAATAAATTACGGAAGAATCTGGATAGAAATCTAACTGTCTATGTTTGAATATCCATCCTGACAACAAGCATTTTTGGATGCAAGGCATTACAACATTTACAGCTTTTCTTTTAGAATGAATGTAGGAACAAGTTAGTTCCTTGTCAGTCAGTTGTTCAGTGGCCTTGAACAACAGCAGTCTCCTTGGTTTATTTTCATTGCTGAGATGGCAGTAAATAAAATAAAGTGCATGGAAACTCTGATTCATAATTTTATCTTTTAACAACTGACTGGTTTATATGTTAAGATACTTGACTCTTGTTTCCTATTTTGATAGCACCTTGTTGCCTCCAACAGACATGAAATCTGAGATAAATGAATGGTACAGAACTGTGGAGAATTTAAACCAAAGTTTAGGTAAGTTGGGAAATCATAAAAACAATCTGGAATTCAGGCAATTCTTTATTTTTTTTCCAAGCAGCAACGAAGCAGGCAGTTTCTTTGAAAGGGCATGTTTGCTCTTTTTTTTGTTCCATGTGTTTTCACATACCTTCTCAGTTGCTTTGAGCTGGCAGCAGGACCCAAAGAAGTTTTCTGGGGCATCACCTCCCTTTGGCCAGCACAGGCACTTGTGCATGGTGAGATCTAGCAGGAACTGTCTTGGTTAGAATTAATCTGGGGGAGACAGAAGGTTAATTTTGACGTGGAGCAGTTCTTAGTCGTACAAAAATACTCCTTTTTACCTTTTGGAGAAGGAGAGGAAAAGTGTTGGAGATGTTCTTTCTCTGAGTCCTATAAAGTGCCTTCCCTCTGTGTGTCTGCCTTCTTTTACTCCAGAGCACATCCTGTCGTGATATTTGTGGCCTGTATAGTAGCAAAGAAGTTGGTAGCAATTGTAAATAACTTGTTGCTTTTAAGCATAATGATAAACAGATTTGTATTAAAAAATCTTCTGTAATTGATTGTTTGTGTCGCACAAGTGTGCAGACCCGCTGGGATCTGTTCCTGTGCTGAGATTCAGCACAGGGCTTCTGTCATATTTCCATTTCACACTGCACTGGGAAGTACAGGAATCCTGACTGTGGTCTGCTCCATGTTCTTCAGACACCCACAATGCAGAGTGCGTGAAGAAAATGCGCAGCAAGTATGAGCTGGTCCTGGGCAAATGTCAGGAAAAAGTGCAGGTCTGCAAGGTGAGCGTCACAGCTTTGGGACTTCTTGGAAGGATTGTTGATGGTACAGTGTCACTACAGTAAAAAGTGTTTGAGGATCCACCAGACATTGAGATAACAAGTGAAATTACTTTTTAACTTCTGTCTTATTCCATTAGAGAAGTTGCTGTGGTATTTGTACTCAAAATGTGTAAAAGCCGTAACAAATGGCAGTAATGAAGGAAGTACTGTCCTACATTTATGTGGAGGATGCAAGGACACTCAGCCTTTGTGCTAAGTGTCTTATTTTGGGAAAGAAATTCCACCTGTCTTTCCTTGCCTCCAATAGAATTGTACTGTTTCCAAGAATGTGAGATCTGGGGGGTTGAATCTTTCTCTGTCCCTCACAAGAAGAAACACCAGCAGTTGTTAACCCATACTCGCTAAAAGCCACACAGTATTTGTTATATGCATGTCAATAACTTGGCATTTTTTTGTTTAGATGAGCCTGTTGGATATGAGTGTTTACACGGTAAAAGATGTTGAAATTGTGCACTCTGACATGCTTCACATGACTGAGAAACTAGAACGTAGGTTCGAAGAAGAACTGGAGCATATGGATGTACGTTTATCACGTATATTTTTACTACTCCCTGCTATTAGTCTGTTCTTCCTGCCCTCCCACCTGCAGTGCCATCTGCATCTGAGGCTCTTGATGTCACACTAGAATGAGATCCACGGTGTGAGTGAACACCACAAAGAAAAGAAGCTTGGTGTGATTCAGGGAGAAGAGTCCGTAATGATTTGGTTTACATTTGTAACATAAATATATTTATATCATAATTTATATTTGTAATATAAATATATATGTCAGGGATGAATTTTGTATAGCCCAACCTGCCTAGAGGCAGAGGAATAGGTTTAAATGATCTCCCAAATTTCTTTCAGTCTCATCTTTTATTATTCTGTACAAGAAAATGACTGGGCAGTCGTTCCTAAAATGATAGATGGCAGAACTTGGTGATTCTGTGCTTTACAGTATCAGAAGAATAAACAGAAGTTCTGATACTCTCAGCTTGTAGAATAAAAATCCACGTTTTTATCCAGTTTACTTGGATGTCTTTTTCCTCTCACTGTGTTGAATACTGACAGTGTATTTCCAGGCAGCCTTTTGTCACGTTACATATCCTCTTATTCCTTCATTTCACCTTCCAGCAGTTTAAAAATAACTTAGTCACTTAAATGTTTTTCTTTAGAG